TCTTCCCGGCTCCCCGACTTCTTTATTCTGGTGCCAGCCTCACCCCATTTCCGTCGGGACGGTTGCTTTAATAGTGTGTAGATTGCACCCTCGGAAGCAGCTTTTAAACTTTTTTTTTAAAAGATTTTATTTATTTATTTGACAGAGACAGAGACAGCGAGAGCAGGAACACAAGCAGGGGGAGTGGGTGAGGGAGAAGCAGGCCTCCCGCCGAGCAGGACCCTGGGATCATGACCTGAGCCGAAGGCAGATGCTTAACGACTGAGCCACCCAGGCGCCCCAACACATTTTGCTTCTTATCCATTATATCTCAATGGTGATTTCTCAGTAGTTGCTTCCATGTTTTAGCTATTGTCAATAATGCTGTTGTGAACATGGGTGTACAGATACCTCTTCAAGACTCTGCTTTCAATTCTTTTGGTATATATACCTAGAAGTGGAATTGCTAGATCATATAGTAACTTTGTTTTCAATTTTTTGAAACTGTCATACTGTTTTCCAGAGCAGCTGGACCATTTTGTATTCCTACAACAGTGTCCAGGGGTTCTAATTTCTCTACATCCTTGCCAACATTTGTGATTTTTTTTTTTAGTAGTGGCCATCCCAGTGGTGTGAATTGTTATCTCATTGTGACTTCAATCTGCATTTCCGTAATGATTAGTAATGTTGAGCATCTAAGGCTCCCTGATATACATCTGCTATACTAATTTTTTTTAAAGATTTTATTTATTTATTTATTTGACAGAGAGAGACACAGCGAGAGAGGGAACACAAGCAGGGGGAGTGGGAGAGGGAGAAGCAGGCTTCCCGCCGAGCAGGGAGCCCGATGTGGGGCTCGATCCCAGGACCCTGGGATCATGACCCGAGCCGAAGACAGACGCCCAACGACTGAGCCACCCAGGCGCCCCCGTTATACTAATTTATATTCTACTGCAGTGTATGAAAGGCATCCCCACCAGCATTTGGCATTCCTTAAAAAATCAAAACAAAAATCCTAATTTAATCAGTTAAAAATGGTATCTCATTTCTCTGATCAAACATTCTTTTCTCATTCCTTGTTGCCTTCACTGCATTTATTGCTCTCTTGCAGTCCTAGTGTTTTACTAATTTTGTAAGCGCTTTCACATAGCAACCATACCAATCCTTGTATATTGCCCTTGCCGAAGCCATTCTTAATTCATTGGCTACTTTTAATTTCACTTTTTTTCTTAACTGACAGTTTTCTGTTTTGTATGAACCAACCCCTCCATCTTTTTAATGGGAATTACCTCATCCCTTTTAAGTCTAGAAAAGTCCTCCCCCCTCTAGAGAACCGATACGTTCTACTGTCTTTTTGTGCGTGTGAAGTTTAATCCCCACGCCCCCACCACCGTTATAACTCTGTCAGGGGTTAATTTTGGTGTAGGATACAAGATATGCATCTAAATTTCAGTCCCCCCCCCAAGATCTAATTGATGATCTCCCGATTATTAATTGAATAATCCTTCCTGTCCCTATTATTTGTGAAACATTCTCTATATTAATCTCTTTTATGTTAGCGGGTTTATTTCTTCCCGGCTCCCCGACTTCTTTATTCTGGTGCCAGCCTCACCCCATTTCCGTCGGGACGGTTGCTTTAATAGTGTGTAGATTGCACCCTCGGACGCGGGGAGGAAGCCCCGGCGGCGCGGGCCGTGCTCCCTCCCCTTCCCTCCCGGCCGCCTGGAGGCCTGGGGCGCCAAGTGTTCCCAGGCGCAGCGGGCGCCCAGGTGCGCTCGGTCCGCGCGGGCTCCCGCCGGGAGGGGGCGGGGGAGGCAGGTGTCCCTAACGACTCTCGCGCCCTCCAGCCTGGGGAGGCGCTGGCCCGGGCCCCGTTACCACATTACAGATTGGGAAGGAGCTCTCTGACCCCCTTAGGGTTTTAAGACCTTCCCAGGGATGGGGAGGCAGAAGACCCCGGTGCCAGGCGCCTCCCCTGCCCGCCGCTGGCTGGGGCCATCTCCTGCTGCTCACCTACCCTCCCACTGGCCGCCTCCCCGCCCCCCGCAAAGGTCGGCTTTGCAAGCTTTCCTTGCTCGCTCTCTCATAGGTCCCCTCCTTCCAGGAGCCCCAAGAATCTCCCTCTGAGGCCACAGTCTTGCTGATCCTAAAGATGCCCTTGCCCAGGGCGGTGAGGATGCCCCGACTCGCCGGCCTTGAATCTCAGGGCTGAAATCCTTCTCTGAGCTCCTCACTGGGATTAAACCTGCTGTTTGCTGACCCGCTGCTAAGAGCCAGGTCCTGTTCACAGACCTCTCATTTGATCCTCACAACATCCCGATCAGGTGTTCGCATCCCTGTTTACAGCTGGGGAAACTGAGACTCAGAAAAAGGAAGTTAACAGGGCTGAAGATTCCCCTGCAGCAAGCGGTTGGAGCTGGGAGTTCACTACAGGGAGGACCTGTGTTTACAGGTCTCTCTCCAGGGTTCTTTTTCCGAGGCTGTCCAATTGGAGTACCCATCTGAGTGCCTGGCACACAGCAGATTATCCCTATTTCCCCCTTTTTTGGTCAAATGCACAGAGAGAAAACCAAGGGCCCTTCTAAACTGAGATGAGCCACACAGGATGTGAAAAAGAGAATTAAGGAAAAGTAGCGGTGCTTATTGGAAAAAGACCATTGTTATAACCAAGCGATTACTGATTGTGAATCTGACCCATCCATCCAGTTAGAAGATTGCAACAGGAAGGGCAGATCAGTATGTGTGTGTGTGCTGAAGTAGCAAGTAGAGGTCTCTT